CACTGAAGATGTTACCTAGCTGGGTAATGAAACGTTTGCAAGAAAAGAACCAAGCTCAGAGAACCCCAAGGACTCCAAAGTCAGGATTTAGTAGGAATAAGGAAATGGTATCCATTATGGAGGTAGAATGTACTGCAAACATGGATCTGGTACTTTAGTCCTCTCATGATCTTAGAATAACAGTAAAAACATACAGCGCTTGATAGCGTAGTGCAGAATGCAAACTATCTGCAGGATTCCTAGTGCCATTAGTTAGGAACAATGATTCCATCTTGCTATCTTTCTTACTTAACTTGGATTTTTTGCATCCATGGAATATAAGTTAAAAAGTTAAGGGGGGAGAGTTGAAAAATACAGTTCACAAAAGGAAAGCAGTGTGTGAATGTCTCCAAACTTCTGTGGTTAAGACACCAGGCTAGAAACCAGGAGACTGCAATTCTAGTCCTGTCTTAGGCACAAAAGCCAGCTGGGTGACTTTGGGCCAGTCACTCTCCCTCAGCTCAACTCACCTCACAGGGTTGTTGTGAGGAAAATAGGAGGAGGAAGGTGTATTAGGTATGTTTGCCACCTTGAGTTATTTATAAAAATAATACAGGTGGGATAAAAATTCTAAAAATAAATAAAATAAATAAAAATAAAATAACAGGTAAACATATTAGGAACAAATTCCAGAGAGCCAGCCATACTTATCAAGGCTTAAGTCCCAATGAGATACATGGAGTTACTTCAGAGTAAACAATTACATGACTGGACTGTTAGAGCAAAAAGCAAAACAGGGTCTTGTGGCACCTTAAAAACAAATTTTAAAGATATATTTTAACATAAACTTCTGTTAACTAATTGTCACTTCACCATCAAATGCACGAAGTGGCTTCTAGACCACAAAATCCTGCATATAAGAAGCTAGAGAGAGGGGATGCCAAAGAGAAGAAAGCTGCATGTCAGCCCCCCAAAGCTAACTGGATTCATGCATTATACTAAACCATGGTTTATTTTTTACTACAGATTCTCAAATCAAAGTGGTATATTCACATCTCATGCTAAATCATAAATCGTGGTTTACAAATCATGATGGTGCCTCATATGGCTAGGGTTACCAAACGTCTGGCAAAAGGAGGGCACGTCCTCCTTCTTATCCTCATGTCTTCCATCCGTCAGGCATAGCCTTAAAATCAAATATTGACTGGTTTTTTGAGTGTCTTGGGGTTTTTGGAGTGGGGGATTGTTTTTACAATAGTAGTCATTCAAACTTTCATGTATTGTGACCTTGTAAATTGTCTGCTTCTTTCTTTCCTTCATCTGTCAACAGACTTGATAGCCTAGATTGATGTTATTTCCAGATTGCAGCAATCAGCTTCAATCCAGCCCCTTGAAATCTATGATCACTGTAGTATGTAGATCACATGACTCATCATACATTTTGATGGTGAAATTTGAAAAGTGCGTTGTCAGCAATTCTATATTATCGCTAGCTTCTTGAGAATAAAGATTTGTTGGAAAAATATTGCAGTTGCTAAACCAGTCTTTTTGATGCTGGAAGAAGTAATGTCATATACATATAGACCTAAGTACATTTTTTACAGTTTTTTGCTGTAATTTTTGTCACAGATGACAAGAAAGGTAAACGGTGTGTCCTCCTTTTCCCATTTGTTCTCCTTTCCAATTGTCTGTGTCCTCCTTTGCCTGTTTAGATATCTGATAACCCTACACATGGCACTAAACCGAAACTGAACATTAATTACAGTTTAGAGCACTAGGTCAAACTCAACTATCATTTAAGAGCCACAAATGAAAATGGGAAGGTGAGGAAAATGCTAGCAGGCACTGGGAGCCACTGCCTTCTGTTTGGACACTGTGGCATACTTTGTGAATGGCACAAGCTGGCATATCTTTATGCATTTACAGAGGCTGTGTGGAACTGCAGTAGTGTTGTTATTTGGAAAATAAATGATGAAGCCACACACACAGATACACAACAGCTACATTTCCCACAGCCAGTTCTCCCTGGCAGAAGAAAAGAATCAAACTGATTTGGGCTGCAATCCTGCTGATTTCTAAGACTTACTCCCAGGTAGACCTGCAGAGGATTGTGCTGCAGATGAGGGAAGGAGTGAGGCAAATTGACAAGGCAGAATGTTTTGTGCCTAAATATATTTAAAGCTTTGATTAAATATATATTTTACAATGCCTTATTTTCGATCAAGAAGACTTAACCAGCCATGAAACTAGTTGATTTTGGATCGGTTACTATGGCTTAGACCAGTTTTATATATTTATTTATTTATTAAACATATATGCCACCCATCTCCACCAGAGAGTGACTCTGGGCAGCTCACAATTAAAATCAAACATTAAAAACAATAAAAATAAATATCCATATTAAATTACTTAAAAAAATAATACTATACAAAAACACTATATACATAAAATGACTATATAATTTAAGATGACGGGGGGGGCAGAATTAATTACCCCACCAGCCAGTTCCAACAATGGGAGCCCCCATCAGGCCCCCAGGGCGTCTGGCATAGCCAAGATTTCACTCTTCCCGAAGGCCACGAGAGTGGGGGCGTTTTAGGTAAAATCGGAGACATAAGTGCTGCAACAGAGTAAAAACCGAATAAATAAATGAAAGCAATCCCAGCAGACGAGCTATAATCTGAGGCACGGGTAAAGGGAGGGACTTCCACGTCCTGCCACCGCTTGATTAACTCTCGAGGGGTCCGCGCACTCCCCTTCCAGAAAGGCAGCCGCCAAGAGGCCACGGTCGGTCGGAGGCAAAGACTGAAGGCGGCTACTCACTGTGGGGGTCACTCTTCTCCCGGACTCCGTCCACTCGGCCGTCAGGGTTGATCCTCAGGAAGAAGCCTCCGTTTTTGCAGTACAGCCGCTTGGGCTCCTTAAAGTGTCCGGGCGGGAAGGGGCCACCGCTGCCGCGGCCGCCGTCGTCGGGCAAGGCGGGAAGGGTGGTGATGC